AACCCTGGACCTACAGAGTTACAGTGCGCACCTCCAACCCCTCGACCATGGCGGCAAAGAAAAATGTCCCCAAAAGAAATGAACGAATTCACTGTCACCCTGGTGCTACCAGCGTTTCAATACGCCTTAGTTCCCATAAGGAAATTTCAGTTTTTCCTAGCCATTATTTTACACTAAAGCCCGCCAGTGGCCATTTTATCAAGTTTCATATCTAAATTCCACTGATTTTGTAAAATCAGGAATCAGTCTCTTGGATATTTCATCACTGGTATAAAGTTAAGTTAACATTTTTTCTTCATTCTCCTCGATTTATTAACAAGACATAGGTATGTATGTATGTAAGAACAATAAGATCTGTCTTGGGCAAGGAAAATTCATTGGGCGTTGGGCTTTGTCCCGGTCCTATCTAATGGCAATATGTACCACTTAACTTTCAATTTACTCCTCGGCGATTTCAGCAACTTTCCTACGCTCTATTGAAATATTCTACTATACTTATAGATATTTAAATTTGTATTAAAATTTTCACAAGTTCTAACAAGTGTTAAATTAAACTAAATTAAAAAATAATCTTTTATGTACTTCGTACTACGGTTAATTAGGAAAACATAGCAAAACAAGCGCTAATCGCAATTCGATCTAAAATACGAATTTACAAATTAGTCAAACAAAGCCATTTATCAATGTCGATTACCAATGACGACACTACTACATAGTAGCTCATTCAGACGCCAAGTGATAGGAAATATTACTTATTGCAGCATTTTTATTTTAAAATTTGCATTCATTCAATGAAGTGATAATATTATGTGGAACAAGAGTGATAATATTTTGACACATGTACATATGTATGTATGTATATACTTAGTGGTTTTTAAGAGTTGCTTAGTCATAGCACACAGAAATATTTAAATGTGTGTGTGTGTAACAGCAAATTTGAAGTGTGCCTGAATAACGGTTGGTGTATTAGGATATTAAAATTTTTTTTTTTCTACAGTTACATATTTTGATTACCACCAAGCCATTGCCTCTTTTATGCATTCGCAATTAGCTACCTTATTAAGCAGCTTCACTTGACTTCTTCACATCACTTTGGTCTATCCATAAATTATCTAATCATAATAAAACGTGTATTACGAATTCATTAAAGCAACGGCTTTCAGTTCAACTCTAACCCAAATAAAAATTTTTATCGCACATTTAAACGAAGCAAACAAGTACATAAAATAAACTAAAAGCCAATAGCTCGATAGCTAGCTTAGGCACAGCTGCGCGCATTCATAACTCCGGTTTAGGATAATAAAAAAATGATCGTAAACTACAGGTAATCGTTAAAATGGAGCGAAGCGCTTTTAATTTGGTGTTTTGGACAAAAAAAAAATATATATCGCTTATTCGCTTTTATAGAAAATGACTTTTGTTAGAAAAAGATACCAAAAGTGATTTGGGTAAAGTGGCATCCGTATCAATATTTTCTTCATCTGATATTCGAACAAATGATTCACCTTTGTTTTCCTGAAAATGACTTCCATTACTATAAAAAAAACAATATTCGAATCAAAAACATCCACTTTAATTTCAATTCTATTGATTGGCAGCACCGAAACAAACAAATTACACGCACAATAACGATGCCTTTTGGATGAGCATCTTTTGACCTTTTGAACGAGAGACTTTCCGTGTTCGATTCGCTTTCTGCTACACCACATAGTGGTGAGGCAGTACTTGACACCAGCCAGGCTGGTTTTGGAAACAAACGTTCTCATCTGCCTTCGAATATCAGGGTCATCTTATCATCTAATACAGCTTTCAAAGAGGTGTTATTGAAAAGGCCCTAACTGAAAGCCTTATCGTGTGGTGTTTACCAAATGCCTAGAAATTAAGCTTATACGTTGGTTCTAAATTACAGTATGACCAGATGATCACAAAAACCGCAGCAAAATGAGGTTTGAAAACGGATTAGAGAAAGTGATATTCTGTGGAGAATGAGTTTAAAAAGATGTCAGTATGTTCATACTTTAAAAACTTTTCACCAACTCTATATAAATAAATTGTATATATATATATTTTTCAACATATATCGTGTATATAAATTTAAAAATCACCGCAATTTAAAATTGTTAGAGTTTGATAGTTTTGAGTTTCTTGAAGTTTTGCATTTTAAATAACTTGAGTGGGATTCCAAAATTTTCTAAACTTTCAAAACTTTGTGAATTTGAGAAATTTTAGTAAATCACAATGGCTAGGTTCAGAAGGCGCAGCAGTTGAGCCCAACCGTTGCTAACAAAACCAGTGATCGTTATGCGCCTTCTGAACGGCTTGATACATTAGCTGTCAAATTCAATTCTCAAAGGTACACACCAACATGTTGTCTCAAATGATCAGAAAAATATTACGATCATCTAACACGCAACTGTTCAGTTGATCAGAAGTACACAACAACGCATTCAGAAGGTGCAATCGCAACAGTTACTGAGCTGTTGCGCCTTCTGAACGTGCATAATAATTCAATATAATGATGAATACTAGACTTCTAGAAAATAGAATTTATTTTTCAAAAATTTTGAGAATTGTAGGAATTGTAGGAATTCTAACAAATTTTACCTAAGTTAAAGTGTCGTATATACAAAATTGATCAAACGAAATTAAAAGTTTTCGAATGTTGAAAACATTTTCATATTTCGTCGTTTTTGAAAATTTAAAAATTTTCGCGATTCTTGAAGATTCAAAAAATTTTTGGTGTTGATGTTTTATCAATTTTCAAAAAATTTAAAATTCTCAGACTTTGTTATATCAATACAAAATTTTGGAAAAGTTCAGAAAAGTGGAAAAATTTGGGAATTTTTCAAAAATGTTAATATATACATTTTAGAATTCTAAGAATTTTCTATATTTTAAACACAAGTACCATGAACATAAGAATTTTTCGACAATTTCTGATGTTTCACATTTTTACATTTTAGAATGGATTTTAGAATAAATAAAATTCTCAAAATTTTTGGAATATATAAACATTTCTAAAATCTCAATAATATTGTACATTTCAAAATATTCTCATTTTACCAAAATTTCTAGAATCTCGCGGATTTTGATAGTTTTTGAAATTTTGAAAATTATCCTAAAAATAAGAAATCCCAAGAAATTTAATAATTTTATAAAATTCAAAATTTTGGAATTGTCGTTGTTTTCTAAACCTGTGAAAATATTCAAACTTGCTGTGACTTTCAACTGTGTAAAATAATACAAATTCGAAAATACAACAAAAAAAAGTAAAAATTGAAAATCAAGTAGATACACAATTTCAAAATTTTGAAAATTCAGTGAATTCGAACAAACTGATAGGCCAACTCAAACAACATGATAGTTCAAGCTTAGCACACAGCAATTCCCCCCCTGGATCCGCCACTGATACATACATACATTGAGCGTTGTTCCTAATGCAGTAGCATAAGAAAGTTGTCTTTCCAGATTTCACCGTACAGTGAACCCCACTCTTTTTACCGTAATATATCTTACTGATAAAGTAACCCATTTTTACTTCTTTAAGCTACTTTCCGCCCTGTTATCCAAAAATTCTAGATAATGGAATGCTCCGAAGGCTATTTTACACTTATACTCATTCAAGTGGTACTCAAATAACTTCAAACGCAATTCACAATACTCGTATGAGTAGATATATGAGTTTCTGACACGAACCATGAAGTGGGTTCTAATGAGCCTATAAGCCTTCTCGGACATTGATACACTAAATCACGAACGTTTTATGCACACTCATCACCATCTATCGAGAGAAATCCGATCACCAATAGTTTTTAAATAGCGGATAAAACTATTTCCTTGTACATGTCATATTCTCTATATGAGCCAAATGTATGAATTTCGCAAATAAATCGATTTAAGCGACACTCGCAGCCCTGCATTTTTTTTAGAATCGCTCATCTTAAGAATCCAACTGGAAATACGGCGTTTACAAATAACTCAACCCCAAAGCTACCTCAAATAGTTGGGTTAACATACATACATATCTACCCTATAATCCAATTGTGAGTCAGATTGGACTATAAATTCTTTTGTATCTCGGCTCCAACCTCACCTAAAGGATCCAATTGTAGCTCACACAAATCCAGGTGATTCCATAACACCAAATATAAAATCTAATTAAAATCGATTTAAGCGGCTGCGGAGAAGAATTGCGAGCACACCTACACCAGAATTTTACACTGCTAAACTACGTACAAACAAATACACCAGCAACCGATTTTTTAAATAACAATATTTGGACTCTTCGATGATAAAAATTTATGACTAAAAACGTCATTTATAGCAGTTCCAGCATTTTTCGTATAAGCATTCCCAGTTTGATTTTTCTACAAAATAATCTTCATAATCATTCAAAATATGTCTGAATTCCGAACAATCACTTAGTTGAATGCTTCCAGACGTTCAGTTATTTGGGCTATTTTCCCTTCTCAGTGCTGAGACACCATTTATTGGGTACCTGTTGGAACAGCAGGGGCATGAAACATGAAATTATAGAACCTACTGATTTTATTAGCTATGGCCAGGTTCGGCAGGCGCTCTTCAAACTCAGAGAGGAAAGATTCCCTTCATAAGCACTACCATTTGAAATTCGAGGGCCACATAAACCAGATGATTCCCCCATTTGCAGAAAAGTATGTAGTATACAAAATAATTTTGAGGCATAAAGCCTCAATCAAGCCTCGCTATATTTTTGGTCTTTCTGCGCTCTTTCTCAAGCGGGTTTTAAAATTTATCTGCACTTTAAAAATAAATTTTATTCTCAAAAGATGTAGGTTGAAGGACAGTTAAATTTTAAAACTTACATGAGAAAACGGGCCTTAGACACTTTGAAATTGTCCAACTGACTAGGTACCAAAGCAAGAATTATTTGAGTTGCCAACACAATAACTGTTTTTCGGTAGGTACTAACTAGAAAATATGAGAAATAATTTTAGAAAATATTTAAAAAATATACGCACCATTACTAAACACACACCACTGTCATTACTGTGCACTGTCATTTAATGTTATGATTTGGCGAAAATATATAAAAAATTAAAACTAATTCAATTCTGTATGCAAGCGTCGGCACAAAACCGCAGGCGATTATCTACAACTAAAATTTTTTCGCTTGCATTACTCGAAGTTTTACAAAATATGCACGTTTTTTTTTTTGGTTTATTGTTATGGAAAATTTACACTTAAATCACACGGCACGGCATAGGAGGGGTGCGAAATCACCGACCCCTTCACTGCACTAATTATGCAAGAATGTAACTTTTTTTTTATTTTTGTTGCCGGCGGTGCACTTAATTTTTTAATTTATGGAAATCATTGCAGTTTCCGATTAGTTAATCCCCTTTAAAGCTAATAGTTTTGCGGTTAAATCGAAAGTAGTTACGGCTACCGGCGCTTTTTTTACAGCTTTTCTATGCCTCGTTGCACTTTTGCCGTCGCAAGTTTCAAGTTTTCTTGCACACGCGCGATTTCACTGTTTCTTTTTTCGCTATTCCGCTATTCGCGCACAAAAGTTGAGTTAATTAAGCGCCGTAATATTCGTAGTTTCGATTGAAAATCACGTTTAGTACCTATTTAGTAGTAAATTAGTTTCAAAATTTGTAGATATTAATTCAATCACTTGTTTCCGCACAAATTCATTGAACACTACGAATAGTCCCGTGCGAGCGCGAATTGTTGGTCAACTGAACCAGTGAGTGGTGAGATGTGCTGACAACACTGATTGATGGCGGCGGGCCGGTGGGCGAGCGTTTTTTCCACTACGTACGTATGTATGTATGTATGTAGGTACTAGTGTCTCAATAGCAGCAAACGGCTACTACTAGCAAGCAAACGCGTACTAAACAACTGGCCATTCGATCGAACGTACGGCGGAGCGTGCGAGCCAACGAGCCAACGAGCAAACGAGCGACACGGTACGACGATGCAAACAATCTGCGTAACAGTCAAAAGTAGACTAACATGAATTTCCAACATGAGCAAGTACAAAGTTGTACAACAAATGGGAATTACAACACGACGACACGACGATGATGACGACGACAACAACAGCAACAGCAAAGCCAGGCAATGCATGTACAACGACAACGACAACGAACTACGACATCGACATCAACATCAACAACGACACGATGTACAACCACAATAACAATAAGAACAACAGCAACAACAACAGCAGCAACAACATAACGCAGAACAAGTAAAGCAACGATAATGGTGATAGCAAGGCTGGATGGCTTGCTAGCTGCCTGTGATGGTGGTGATAGTGGTGTTGGTGGTATTAGTGAAGATGGCAGCGGCAGTGGTGGGTTGAGTGCGCTACTATGGCAATATTCGTAGCAATAACGAGTGCCGTACAACAACTACAACCACCGGTACATGAGAGTACATCAAGAAAACAACAGGCAATCGCAGCAGTGAGACAAACAAACACACACACCTACTCACACATACACACACACAAGCGTGCGCATACACATTTTACGTAGCATACTGCAAGGGATAAATGTTAGAGGAAAGCGGTGAGCGAATGCACAAAACCACACACAGATACACCACCACCACATACAGACACATGCATGCATGCATGCAGAAAAAGCTACTCAGAGCGAGTGAGCTGAGAGCGCAAGAAAATCCAATATGAAATGCATTAAAAACTATGTAAACAAACACACAGAAGTATGGAGCGCGTAAAATGCATTTGAGCGGTGAGTTGTAGGTATTGTTGGAGTCGTATGCAAGCCTTTCTGTGTGTGTGTGTGTGTTTGCATGTGAAAAATCATGTGAGCGGTATGCGGTGGTGTGCGGTGTACGCTGCGCTAAGAGAGTTATAAGAAAAGTTAAATACAGCATATGTAATAAGAGTAGCAACAATCAAAAGCAAATTGAAGAACAAGAAGTGGATAAAACATAATAACAACAATAACAGCAACACAAATAACACTAACAAATGATGATAATGGTAAATGAGAGCGCGCTGTGCTGCGGTGTGGCATGGTAGGTACAAGGAGTTCAGAAACAAACAACAAGAACAGCAATAAACATGCTGTACAAGACCAGGCGAATCGCGCTAAACAGTGCAGTTGTGCCACACCGGGTGCTGTCAGGAGGTGAAGAAACAGTATGCTGCTAAAATGCTCTTATAGGAATAACCGCAGTGGCAGGCCAGTATGTACTACTACGTGTATTTTTTAAGGCCTAAACATAGGGAAAAAATTTAATTCAATGATAATTTGCGAAAATCAGAAATGTTCACGTCGTGAAGACGTGACAAGATTTTGTTGTCATGAAATTGATCGTAGTAGTCGGGTCTGTAAAATCTGAGATACTTGATTTCTACTAAATTGAACTCAACTTCAGTTCCTATTAGAGGTATACGCCGCCGAGCCACGCCGCCGCCGCCGCCGTTTT